CCGAATTGGAGAAATTTGGCATTACCTCACTTGTTCACCAATGGTTCCTCTGCAGTGAATGGGTGCCGTCAGAATAAGAGTTCAAACAGCTGATAAAAACAATACACAATAATCCACACCACTCCAGTCCCACTCCAGTCCATCAATTAACATCTTGGGAAGTGAAAAGCTGTTTGTTTGATCAGCTTCTGGTCCCCATTGACTTCCATAGTACTTTTTTCCATATTATGGAATTCAATGGGGACCAGCAACTATTTGGTTACAGGTTTGGAATAATTTGAGGGGGGAGTAAATGATGACAGACTATTCATGAACTATTCCTTTATGATGGATTTGTTTCTTACAAACACACAGCTTATTGCTTTTCAATGTTAACTGATGGACTGGAGTGGTGTGGATTATTGTGATGTTTTTATCAGCTGTTTGGACTCTCATTCTGACGGCACCCATTCACTGCAGAGGATCCACTGCCTCCACATCCACATTGTCAACTCCGGTTCCGGCCCGTCCAATGATCTTCAAGTTACTGCCAGCACTGATGACCTCAGCAGTAACTTTGGTTGCTGATCGGACGACTAAACCATCATAATTCTTGGGAGAAAAAAAAAAAAGATAATATTTGAGACATGTGAACAAAATTAGCATGTTATTTCCTAAGCAGAACAACATGTGACATGACAACAGTGACAATAAATTACAAGTCAACATGCATTCAGCTTTTAACTTAATGCACATGCCTTCCTGATAAAGAAAAATGATATGCATTTTATTTACATCCTATCCAAGCAAATACCTAATAAATAAAAACACAACAAAAATGTACAAACTAAAAACACATGCACAGAGCAAAACACATGTGCAGTATGCACTGGAAAAACATACTTCGAATACATAAATTGCTGGTTTTCTTGGTGTCTAATAATTTGAAAAAGTAACTCAGATATATTCTCTTGTAAATTAAAAAGTAATGCGTTACTTTACTAGTTACTTGAAAAAAGTAATCTGATTACGTAACTGGCGTTACTTGTAATGCGTTACCCCCAACACTGGTAATCACTGCCACTTGTGAAATTAAAAATAACTAAATAATCAATAGAGGAATAAATAAAGGACTAACAATTAAATATAATGTAAGTAAATGTAATGTAATAAAAGTATTTTTTAAATTAAATTTAGTCCTAAATTAATTTTTGTATTACTTTTTTCATTTATTATTTTCTGTATTAAACTTTTTTATTCTTGCGTTTATGTATGAATGTATGTAGGCTATGTATGCATGTATTTATTTATTTGTTCAGTTATTTTTATATTTATTCCCACATGTATTTGTTTTCACATTTATTTATACGGTTATTTGTTTTAACATTATTTTTATTGATTTATTTATTGATTGATTTATATGTATTTACTTAATTTCTGCAGGTTTGAGTCTCTATACTATGATAGGTTTATTATATAAATAATCTATTTATTTGAGATTAAAGTGAATAGAGGATGAAAAGAAGGTTATAACAGGTCGGTTGGACTCATTCTTCACACAAGCTTCATGCATCTGACCAATTACATGAGCACATGACAGAGGTTTAAATAATTAAAAACGTTAAAAATAAACCTATCCTTATACTGGAATAAAACGTGTGACAACTAGTCATGCAAAAACTAGGCAATACATAAAAGCATGTATATTTTTAACTTTAAATTTAATTAAAGTTATGTAATGGATAACTTCGATATTTTATTATTTAACTCCAAATATGTTGTTTAAGTCTGATTAAGTATGGCTTTGTTTAAGGTATTTTTCACTGTATCTGGTGCATGTTCGGGTGGGTGTTTTTTTTTTTTGTATTTTCTTTTGTTGGTTAGTTCATATACTTTTGTATACAGTTTGTGGGATTTTGTTTTGTTTTGTGTTTTCAGAAAAACTGTTATAAATAAATGTAAAAAAAATGAATTAAAGTACAAATTTTCAGAATCAACTGCTAAATCAGCTCAGGCTATTTTCTAGATTTTTTTTTATATGAAACATTATTACGGTTTTATCATATCTTTAAATAAGTCCTCACAAAGCATCAAACCTGTTGTGCTTTTTTGTTGTTTGCAAGTCTGAGGGATGAAATAAGAGACTTCAATTCTACAGAAAAAGTGGAAGACACAAAGAAGACATAAACCATTTTTTGCTAGTCAATACAGAATTTTGCATACAAAATAGAATTTTTTTTTTACATCATATTCTTTGGGTTTTCAAAATAATAATATAAAACAACATCTTTGAGAACAAAACTAGTTTCTTTTCCAGATTTAAACAAGGAAGCAGTTACAATACAAAAATATATAATAATATTAATAATAAAAAATAATAATAATGGAAAAAGTTAAATTGCTAGACAGGGGTATTCAGTAGCATTAAAAAAAAAAAAAGATTGAACAACTTACAAATTTCAACTGTTTTTAAAGTCTACTTATTACATGAGTTAGAAATAGCCCCAAAGTAATGCTGTATTTCGCCAAGTTTATTTTCTAGAACGCTGGCTCTTTAAGGCTTCGCATGACGTCACATTCTTCACTTGCAGGGTTGCAAGGGAACAGTGAAACAAAAGTTTAAATGGTTGCCGAGCAACACAGTGTAGGGAGTCCAAACATGTTACCAACGCTAGCCAAGTTCGCCGATGTATAAAGGAATAAACATATATAAACATCTCAATGTATGTCAAGATCAACGAATGTGAGAGGACATAAAGAAGCAGTTAAAATGTCAAAAGCCTCGATAACAGCAGGTGTCGTTCAGTACGGGCGGAGGAAAGGCTCAAGTCAACAAGGTGAGAATGACTGCGCTTACTGACTAATGCACCAGGATAGCTAAAAGATCATCTGTAAAATTATAATAATTACAGTTTATAATCATTTGGAAATATGTGGTCAAATGCCAGAGGCGGACAGTAACTAAGTACATTTACTTGAGTATTGTACTTAAGTACACTTTTTGAGTATCTGTACTTTACTTGAGTATTATTTTTTCTGGGAACTTATGACTTTAACTTCACTACATTTGAAAGACAAATATTGTACATTTCACTCCACTACATTTCTATCAGGGTCCTCGAAGTAGAAAGTCGTTACTATGTTGCAGCTTTGAAAGTCAGTGGGTGATTTTTTTCTTCTCTAAAACGGGACTTTCTTTTTTTCAGACAGTTTATCAGTAATCACTCTTGTAGGGCTACATGAAGTGATTTCCCAGCATTTTTTGAACACTGACCAGTTGCAAATGTGGTATTTATTTACAACAATTCAATAATAAGAAGTTAATATTGTGGTATACATTACACACAATATTGTCTGATTTTGCTAAATTGTGTACGTGAAAATATTACCTATAAAGCCACAGAAGAACTGTTGTGCATCTCCTAATAAAACACAATAGGTGTTGGACTTGAAGCAGCACTGCACAGACCGTTCTGTGTGTGACAAGTGTGTGACAACAACGAGAGCGATTAGACAGCATTTTTAAAATGTTTGTTTTGATGTCAAATAAGTCTTGCTGTTTTGCTTTTTTGTTAAAGCAGTGTTGCTGTTGTAAAGTTATACAGCTACAGTTGTGTTGCTGGGTTTTAAAGCAGGTTTGATTTTTTCTTCCTTATCACTCTGTATTTACAGGATTTCACTGTATTGTATTCAGTAGGTGTAATGTATTCTAAGTTGCTTCAGAAGTATTGCAAGTATGCACACAGTTGTGAGTTCGGAGGTGGAGAAAACCGAAGCGGATCTTCGTCAAATGGTAGTTTTGTCCAAACCGCAATGGCAGCGCCTGCAGGACAGTGTGACCGGAATCAATCAACACAGCAGGAGTGTGATTGCAGCGGCCCAACAGCGCGAGGCGCTGCACATGCGCTCTAAAGAGCTCGTAAAACACTGGTCCAACACCATTGCTGTGAGTACGCACTGGAGTTTATGTATTTCCAGCTCTCGCATTAGTCATCATGAGCAATATTTGCATGAAAAACCCACAATTCACGCTAAACATAATATGCGGGAAATTGTCATTTTTTAATGACCTAAACACTTTTAAAGAAAAAAATATATATATATTATTAGCCTATCATTGAGTCAATTAAGAATAAAGAAGAATAATGAATTTAAAAATCATTATAATTAAGAAAAAAGTTGATGTTCTTAGATTTAGTTGATAAATAGGATTCATTATAATATTTTGTATATAATGTATTCTAATATTTGTATATAATATTTTATCAGAAATATCCCTGTGATAATTTTGTACACATTGATATGACTGTTTTTGTGTCTAGAACAATGTTATTGTTGATAGTAAAACTGAAACGAAAAACTAAAATTAAAACCTTAACATTGTTTTGTTACTTTAAATAAAATAATTGTTTACTGAAATAAAATAAATATAAAATTATTATTGTTTCAGCTAGTTGGTAAGGCAGTATGTCTCATTTTAATTTAGTTCAACTTGAAGTACATAAATAAATTAATAAAAGCTACATGTATAAAAACATAAACTACTAAAAATTATAAAAACACAACAAAATGACTAAAACATCATCTAAAATAAAATAAAACATATATATATATATATATATATATATAGATATATAGATAGATAGATATATAGATATATATATGCAGATATTTTAGTACTTCAACGTTAAACTAAATGAGATGGTTGAAAAAAAGGTTTTTACATTTTATTTATTTCAGTCAACATTTATTTTATTTCAAGTAACACATTTTTTAATGGATTTAATTTTTCCTTAATTTTTCCTTTTAAATATAATAACCCTGTTTAGTTTTCATTTTTTTCCAGTAGTTTTAATATCTTTAGTACTTCTACTGCAACTTATTTTATTTCACTTAGTTGCTAAAGCAGCACTTCTATTTTTATTTAAGTTGTTTAAGTTTACATTTTCTTGTGTCAAGTGAAATAAATTAATAAAAGCTACATGTATAAAAACAAAAACTACTAAAAATTATAAAAACACATGATGTACACATTTTTACAACATACTTGGTTAAGAAAAAGTCATGAAAATTCATTGTGTGGGTGAAGTGTGGGAACCCTGGCGAGAAAGAATAATTCTCTTCACTGCTTGCTTTGACTCAGCACTGGGCTTGTATTTGCATTTCTTTTTGCTTTAGAGAGCTCCAGAGACACAGAGAGACTATTATACAGAAGTTAGCAGTACAGAAGCAGCAACAAATCAGCAATGAGGAAGAGCTCATCGTGAAAGCAGTCGCTGAACGTGAGGCCAAACAGGCTCGAGAACAACGTGAGAAAGGAGAAAAACATGCAGCCATGTTGAACTCCATCGCTGCACACAGAGAGTCCATGGTAAATAACCTCTTCTTAATGTATTTGTGCATACAGATGGTTTAACTCTTCAAAGCTTTGTCTAGTAATGAATGCATGATTATTTAGATGATTATTTGATTAAACTAAGGCAACTAGTGACAAGAGGCCATGTATTACAGTGGTTTTGCCACAGTAATATTGCGTTTACGTCCATCAGACTGTTTATGTATATAATTTGAAAAACATACATTGAAATAAACTTTTTTTTAACCCTATATTAGAGGAAAGAGCAGGAACGAAAGGCAGAAGAGGAGAAACAGAAAGCCCTGGAGATGCTGAATGCAAAGATGGAAGCAGCTAAAATCTTCATGAAAAAAAAAGAACTTCAAGCTCAAAAAACTAGAGAAGAAGGCAAAATACTACAAGACATCTATATACAAGAAATGGTGGGTATAGCTCTTAAAGGAACACTCGCTGGTCTTGACAAAAATGAAAATTTGCTGAAAATTAACTCACCTGGGACATCTAAGATGTCATCAGAACAGATTTGGAGAAATGTAGCATTACATCACTTGCTCGCCAATGGCAGTGAATGGGTGCCGTCAGAATGAGAGTCCAAACAGCTGATAAAAACATCACAATAATCCACAAGTAATCCACACCACTCCAGTCCAGCAAATAACATCTGGTGAAGTGAAAAGCTGCATGTTTGTAAGAAACAAATCCATCATTAAGGCGTTTTAGCTTCAAATCATTGCTTCCGGCTAAAAACGAGTCCTCTAATATTAAAAAAGCCATCTTGTCTGAATCAGGAGAGAAATATGCACAGATCAAGCACCATTTACAAGCAAAAACAGTCCAAAACAGTTCTAAACAAATATTTTGTGGATTTTGATGTGAGAGGACAACAGGGGATGGACTTTTTCCACTGGAGGAAGCGTTATTATGAATTATAGACATTAAAGTAAAAAAAACCACCATATTGATAGTTTTGTTTCTTACAAACACGCAGCGGTTTGCTTCACAAGATGTTAACTGATGGACTGGAGTGGTGTGGATTATTTGTGGATTATTGTGATGTTTTTATCAGCTGTTTGGACTCTCATTCTGACGGCACCCATTCACTGCAGAGGATCCATTGGTGAGCAAGTAATATAAAGCTAAATATCTCCAAATCTGTTTCAAATTAAAAACAAACTTCTCTACATCTTGGATGACATGAGGGTGAGTAACTTTTCTGCAAATTTCTATCTTTGGGTGAACTTTTCCTTTAATGTGTTTTATGCTATGCATTTAACTATGATTTCTTTCAAATGCAACATGGGTTTTTGTGAAGGCTGAGAAACGTGCAAGGCATCACCGTACAAAAAAAGAAGAGAAGGACTTTGCTGAGAGGAACTCTGCTCTCATCGTTGGGGAGGAAAACCAGTTTCAGAAATACGCCAAACAGGTCTTCGAAACAGCTGGGAAGGCAGGGAGAAACACCTTCCCGCTCATGAAGGCTGCCAGAGAGGGCATCGGAGGGGGTCTAGGGCCCGTGTTTGGTGGACTTAGACCAAGTTATCTAGTCCATGATGAGTCGGGTGTTGAGATGCCCAGTTATGTGAGCGGCACCTCTCAAAACATAAAAGAGCTGAACGAGACCCCTGACATTCAACAGTCCAAGAAAAGACTAGGATTCACCTTGTAAAACTTCACAACATCTAGTTGTTATAATGTCTCTCTCGTACTATTGCAATGATAAAGATTTTATGCAAAAGGAATTGTAATCGCTGTGTTTTGATTCAAATATAGCTTTTTAACCATCAAATTTCTTGTTACACAATTTAGTTTATGTTTTTTATTTAGAAATATTCTGATGTATAAAAAAGTATTATTCCTGGAAACTTAATAGTACACTCTAAAAAATGCTGGGTTAAATACAACCCAGTGCTGGGTACAATAGGGACAAACCCAGCAATTGGGTTGTTTTGACCCAGTGGCTGTCAAACGATTAATACGAAATTAATCGCATCCAAAATAAAAGTATACAGTATACAAAAAGTATACAAAAATACACAGTACACAGATATATTATGTAAATAAAAACTTTAATTATGGATGTGATTAATCGCGATTAATCGTTTGACAGCACTATTAAATATAAATTATAACTAATAATTGTTTTCCTATTACCTGAAAGGTGTTAAATTAATATATTTATATATTATATATATATAAATATATTTATATATGCCTTCCCATATATATATA